GTAGATGACATATTATTAATGGGAAATGATATTGGCATGATGATCGAAGTTAAGATGTGGTTGTCAAAGGCTTTCTCAATGAAAGATTTGGGAGAAGCAAATTACATCCTAGGAATTCGCATTTATAGAAATAGAGCAAAAGGATTGATAAGGTTATCTCAAAGCATGTATATAGAGAAAATGTTGAAAAAGTTCAACATGGAAGACTCCAAAAGAGGCTTTTTGCCTTGTGGTCATGGACTACATCTTTCTAAGGATATGAGTCCTAAGACTGATTAGAAGCGACAACGGATGAGTAATATACCCTACACTTCAGTTGTAGGTAATCTTATGTATGCAATGCTATGTACAAGGCCTAATATAGCCTATGTTGTAAGTGTTGCGAGTAGATATCAATCAAATCCAAGAGAGAAACACTGGTCAACAATTAAAACAATCTTTAGTACTTGAGAAGGACTAAAGATTTAATACCCAGTTATAGAGGTTTAGAATTGAAAATCTAGGGTGCCCAGACTCTGATTTTCAATCAAATATGGATGATAGAAAGTCTACATTTGGATTCATCTTTACATGTAATGGATGAGCTGTTAGTTGGAAAAGTTACAAGCAGTTGACCACTACTGACTCCATTACAGAAGCTGAATATATTGCCGCTTCAGAAGTAGCAAAAGAAGGTGTCTAGATATGCAAATTTATAACTGAACTTTACGTGATTCCGAACATGAGTTATCCAATAACCTTATTTTGCGACAATAATGGTGCTATTACACAAGCAAAGGAACCAAGAGCACACTGGAAATCAAAACATATCCAGCGTAAATATCATATTTTGAGAGAGCTTGTTGAAGCTAGAGAAATTTTGCTGCAAAAAACACCTTCAGCAGATAATGTAGCTAACCTAAGTACTAAAGCGATGACACAAAAGCAATTAGATCATCACCTTGAGAAGATGGGTATTAGATACCACAACGATTGGCTCTAATGCAAGTGGGAGTTTTGTTAGTGCATGCCCTAGGAACCAATCGTGTCATCGGTTCTAAGGTATTATGTTTTGTGTGTATATATATGTTAATGTATATATTTTGTATATACATTTTTATCTTATTAATAAAAGAAAGTGTTCTCACTTCACATGTGGTTTATTGCTTAATTTATATATATGTATTACATGTGAAATGTTTGGATGATACAAATCTTTAGAAGATCAAAATCATCAAAGTATTCCCTACATAGGTAATATTAATTGGGCAATAATATTAAATAGTAGGCATGCTGAATGCCTCCGTTGTGGGTGATTATAAAAGTTATATCACTAGGGCATTAGCATGAATAAGCGGTTAGTGAACTGTCAATCGAATATGACCATTTATGATGAATCACATGGACATTTAAAATGTAGTAAATGATGCATTATAAGATTGTACTAGTGTATTATTAATCCTTAGACCTGAGATATCACAATTGGATTCTGCATAAACGCATATGGTTCATATAGTGTATAAACACGAGGCTAATCATGTCATGTGTTAAGCCGTTTTAGTCATGTGTTGTTTATGTGTGAAGACAAGTGATAGTCAAGATGGGATCCGTTGACTTGGTATAGATTGATATCAAGTTCCTAGACAAATGTCAAGATACATTAGAAGAAGGAAATCTCCGACCGGGGTATAAAATGTTCCCTGAAATGTTGTTTCATGGTGACACGTTCCATATGTATTGATTGTCAATTTGATATAAAATTAAGATAAGGATTTTGACATACCATGAATCCATTCTTAATTGGGATTAGACAACAGAAAAATTTGATTATACATCGCATATGATTATAGAAGGGTTCGTTGGAGTATATCTTCATTGTGACTTAGGGGTTATGGAGTATTGTTAGATGCCTATCATAATCAGTGAGAGTTTTGTTTATAAAGAGTTATGACAAAACATATCGGAATAGACTATGATATTAGACCCACGGCTAAGCCATAGTGAACCTAAGAAGTCACACATAAAAACTAAGGAGAATGAAGAAATAGACAAAAAGAGTTGATTATCCAAGGTGTGCTAGCACCTACCAAGGGTAATAAAGTTTTCTATATTATTATCATTAAATTAGAGACAATGGAGGGTTATATTAGTTATTATGAACAATTTAAGAGTTAAATTGCTAATTGGAATTAAGCGGAATTCCAATTCATAATTAATCAATTTCTTTATGTTAAATTGAATTTAACAATGGGTTGTAATTGTAAACATATAAACAATTTAAGGTTTAAATTGTTGTTATGTAAATAATTAATGAGTTAAATTGTTAATTGTGATTAGATGTTAATCCAATGTTATTGTTTAAAGAAGTTTAATAACTTCATAATAATTATGGAATTATTTACAACTCCAAAAATAATTATGGAATTGTTTAAGGAAGTCCAAAACAATTATTGAATTGTTTACAAGGCTACATAAATAAAGAAAAAGATATATCAACTTTAGTGTAGAGATCGAAAATTTCTAAGAACCCTAAATGTCTCTCTTGGCCTAATTCTTCTTTTACCTTAGTTTGGATACTCTTTTGTTTAATTTATCTTAAAATTAAAAGTCTCCAAAGTTGCTAAGGACTTAAGGTAACAAGCCATACCTTACTTGTTTTCAATTTGACTGAATTTTTTTTGCAAAATACTAATATACATATTAAAGTATCACATGCATCATTCTCCATGCATTCCAACTTTCAATATAAGCCTTGATCGCTTAAGCAATAGCCCACATTGCTTAAGCGACCAAGGCTAATTTGTGTCTAAATAATCCTCAAGTACACAACCATTTAAGTGATGCAGCTCTCTCTTAAGTGATCCAGCATATATAAGCTTTGATTGCTTAAGCGATAGCCCACATCGCTTAAGTGACTAAGGCTAATTTGTGTCTAAATAATCCTCAAGTACGCAATCGCTTAAGCGATGTCAGCTCTCACTTAAGCGATCCAGTATAGATAAGCCTTGATTGCTTAAACGACAGTCCACATCGCTTAAGCGACAGTCCACATCGCTTAAGCGACCAAGGCTAAGTCTAACGACAGTCCACATCGCTTAAGCGACCAAGGCTAAGTCTAAATAATCCTCAAGTACATGATCGCTTAAGCGATGTTAGCTCTCACTTATGCGATCCAGCATAGATAAGCCTTGATTGCTTAAGCGATATCCCATATCGTTTAAGCAACCAAGACTAATTTATGTCTAAATAATCCTCACGTACACGATTGCTTAAGCGACCCAACATATATAATCCTTGATCACTTAAGCGATAGCCCATATCGTTTAAGCAACCACGACTAATTTGTGTCTAAATAATCTTCAAGTACACGATCGCTTAAATGATGTGAGCTCTCGCTTAAGCAATTCAGCATAGATAAGCCTTGATTGCTTAAGCAATATTCCACATCGTTTAAGCGACCAAGCCTAGTTTGTGTCGAATAATCCCTATAAAAAACAAGTTCGCTTAAGTGATACAACTCTCGCTTAAGCAATCTAGTATAGATAACCCTTGATCGCTTAAGCGATAGCTCACATTGATTAAGCAACAAAGGCTAATTTGTGTCAAATAATCCATATAAAAAACAAGATGCTTAAGCAATGTAGTTTTCGCATAAGCTATCTAGTACTCATCACCAGCTAATATCATCGTTCAAAACATCAAACAAAAAGATCCTCAATCACCAAACAATCTCATAAAGATAATCTCATACAGTATTCATCAAAACCATTAAAATTGTGTTCAGATTCATTAAAATAGGCCTGGAACTGATAAAACAACAGCCTAAAAGTACAGAAGTCTATACAAGGAAACTGTGTTCTATTTATGTTTCTTCCAAGGGAGTTGCCTTGTCCTTTTCATAAATATAAGTACAGAAGTCTGTACAAAGAAATAAATCAGGGACACGAATTAGGAAACCTTGAATGGATTCTATTGATTTCTGCGACAATTGCGGCTGTGAGCTCAGCCTGGCATGCGTTTATAACCTCCTGAAGCTGGCTTGACTTGGTAGCTCCAAATACAGCACTTGCAATAAGAGGGTGTCTCAAAACAAATGAAAAGGTTTGGTTAATCATAGTACAGTGCAAACAAACAACAATTCCTTTCATGCTTTAAACCTTACTGCAGATGCCTTCCTTTCTTCTCCCTTTGTTGCTTCAAACCTTACTCAACAGCAATTCCATACCCTTCTGCCAAACCTTCCATGCTTCAAACCTTACTCAACAGCAATTCCATACCCTTACTCAATAGCAATTCCAAACCTTACTCGATAGCAATTCCATACCAAACCTTACTCAATAGCAATTCCATACCAAACCTTACTCAATAGCAATTCCATACCAAACCTTACTCAATAGCAATTCCATACCCTTCCATGCCAAACCTTACTCAACGTATAACCAAGAGCACAAATAACCCAACCACAGACCAACAATGCACATAAACTAATCACAAGCAAGAACAACAGCAATCCAATAACACAGTAACAAGAGAAAGAGGCTATTTCATTAAGATTCCAGAATTAACAAAAAAAAAAAAAAAAAAAAAAAAAAAAAGAGATAATAAAAGGCAACACCCAGCTGGTCTTTTCCCTTTCTGCCCCATTTTCCTTTCCTCCAGCACCCCCACCAAAAGCCGATCCTTGTTGGCTGCCAAAACCTCCAAATCCACCACCACCTGTAGCATAATTCTCTCTAACAATTCAACATCAATTCTTTTATTACTGGTCATATTCAGCACCATCTGTACAGCTTCTAGAGCCTGCAAAAAAAAAAAAAAAAAAAAAAAAAAAAAAAGTTTGAATAAACAATAAAGCATAAAACATTGATAACAAAAGAAAAAGTTATTGTGACGTATACTGATTTCATGTTCACTAACATATCATATGATCTCATACATTAATAGTGTCCAAAAAAATTGAATAAATATGTATTTTTGCATATATTTTTCAGGAAAAAACTTAAATTCCAAATGGATGTATTCTGAGCCATTGGGAATCAAAATTATAAAGATCATTCACCATAAAGTCTATGTTAAAATTATTTTCACCAGCAGCTATTAAAAAACACACACAAATGGGTGCTCTGGACTTCGCAGAAGAGAGCGGAATAGGGGGGCTCGGGGCTTGCCTGCATATTGCAGGGCTGTCTGCACGTGGACAACATATTTCCTCTAATTTACAGTGTGTTTTTCCTCAGCACTTGATTGCCAGTGTTAAGACTCAACTTTTTCTTCTAAATGCAGCTTATGATACATGGCAGGTAAGTCCTACATCTATACAATGCAACAAAATGAAAAACATTTCCTTTATGTTCTTCCCAAAAGTCATCCATTTGCAAAGGTTCCTAAAGATTCTTGGTTTCTTGCTATACTCAGTAGTTCCAAATTTAGACATAAACTACTTTCTTCAGATGCTCAAATTCATTAAAACATAGTCTTAAGATGGTTCATAAAAGTTTATTGTCTTGAGCAATAGTCTTAAGATGGTTCATAAAAGTTTATTGTCTTGAGCAAAGATTAACTGCTACCTGGTTTCTCACAATTGGCGCATGGATGGTGGGTGATTCTGAAGCATGAAGTTTCATGGCTCGTGATGCCTGTAAGCTGCCTTAAAAATGGTGAGACTTGAGCACCCAGATAAATCTATCTGAGTTCTTTTTCCTTTCCTATTAATCAGATTCAGGTCAGCTTAGCTCCACCAACGGTTGATCCTCATGGCAACTTGCATGAATGCAGAAACAACTATGCTCGTTGCACAACATCCCAAATTGGTTTTCTACAAGGTGATTTGATCATATGTTTTAATCTCTGTTATTGTAAAAAAAAAAAATAGGATCTTAGCCATTGTAACTTAACCGGGAATGGCAAAAATGCAAAAATTAAAGAAATTGAGAAATGGCAGAAAATTGGAAGAAAAAACGAGAGAGAGGAAGGTGTTTGAATAGTGTTTTGAGAAAGAGAAACTGAGAGGAATGTGTTTTTCCTTTCAAATTTTAAATCAATTTTTTTTTATTATCCTTTAACCCACAAATGTTTAAATCTTTTCACCCTAACCCTTTTTGCTGCTTTAATCACACTTGAGTGTGACACGTCAGACTTTTAAACCCCCAAAAAATTAAAAACCTTTCAAAAATCAAAAACCTTTCAAAGTTATATTCTCAAATCGAAACTTGGGAAGACATATCAGTTAAACTTTCCTCCCTAAACATACCCCTTCTTCCTACAATTTGCCACACCTTGTTCTCACTAAAATTTGCCGCCTCCAAAACCACAGCAGAGGCTGGCGGCGAATCAACAACATTAACATAGTGGTAACAATTAGTAAAACCCTGTTTACAAAAACAAAACCTAGCTATCTCGCACAGAAATTAGTGTAATTAATGGCGTCGCGAGGAGAAGCTGGGAACTTGCTAAAATCGACGACCATTAATGGAGTGAAGGTGTACTCCGTTGTTTCACAACAACGCTCTGTCGCTGCTTGGCTCCCTCCCAAGAAGCAAAGAGCTCTTCGTAGAAACAGCGGTAGAGATATGAATTTTAATATTCTATTTTACATGTTTAATTATTTATTATTTACCTTATTAGGCTCTAATTTTTAGGTGGTTTGTTTGTTTCATTGTAGATTATCAGCGAAGAGTGGAATTAATTCAGGACTTGTGGTTTGAAACTGCAACCACTAAAATCAAGGCTACTCCTGATGGAGAGTTTCTTATTGCTTCAGGTGCTTTCAAGTTTTTCTTTGTTTAATTTTTAAACTTTGTTATTTTAGTTTATTTTATTTTAAATATGATGTCATGTTGATATTGTTACTTTACTGCTACTGAAAATGCAAGTGCAGGTATATATCCACCGCAAGTCAAAGTATATGAGTTAAGGCAATTGGCATTGAAGTTTGAGAGGCACTTGGATTCCGAGATAATTGATTTTGAGGTAATTGAGCTTGACTTCTTGTTTACACAGGATAACCATCAAATTTGAGAATCTTGTATGGGGGTGCTGGGGATTGGTTATAATTTGAAGATTAGAACTAAAATTTAAAGAAAGTTGTTTGCGTATGATGTATTTGACACAATATCTTTTTTCGATATGAAGTGTATAAGAACTAAGAATTTTTTCGTAAAATGAAGAAAGGTAAGAATGAACGGGAGTGCAGGTCCACTCTAGGGATTTTAGTAATTTATTTCGCACAAATTTAATTTTTTTTGTTTTCCTTTTTTTGGAGTAACTATGAAATGATGGTGTCTGAGTATACATTTATATATATTTGAGATCACTAGCAGTTTACCTGGTCTTACATGTTTCTCTAATGTTTTGAAGGTTGTAAATAAAATTTCAATATAATGGCGCACAATTGGACATGGGGAATCATTTTAAGTCCTTTCAGTGCATATCTTGGTTTTATCATTTTTGTAATTGCCTAGCCCAGTGATTATTATTATCATTTTGTTTATCTGTTATTTTATCTTTGTTGTGGTGGGATGAGTTGCATTTATTCATATCTTGATTTTAACATTTGACCAGAACCAGTAGTTATGGCACTCAGTCGATCACATGTGTAATTCATATACATATTACTTCCAACTGTTCTTATTTTCTTTTACTTCTAAATGTTATCATGTTTTCTTTTAGAAATTTAAAAATTATAATTATGCATCCTATGTAAAGTTAATATTTTCACTTACTTTTCAGTGACAATGATTTTATGAAATTTAATATTTTAGTAACAGTATTTTGTTGCCTATATAGGTATTGGCTGATGACTATTCAAAGCTTGCATTTTTATGTGCTGATCGTTCTGTTTGTCTACATGCAAAATATGGAAAGCACTTTACTTTGCGGATTCCCAGGTTTTTATTAAATTCTTTTTTTTTTTTTTTTTTTTTTTTTACACTTGTTCCTGTTTCTGTAGTATGTCATCTTATATGTTTTGCATTAGTTATAACTGATATAGATAATAGACGGTTGGATTTATTGACTTACTAGATCTGATGTGCTAATGTTTCATGTTACAGTCACCCTGCCATTTTTTATTTTATATTTTAAGGATTTTATTTGGTTTAGAAGTTGGTGCCAAAATATTCTGAAATATGATGAATTATGGAAGGAGAAACTCTAATTGGACTTCGTTTATGCATTATTTTGCAAAAAATAGTTTTTAGGAATTCTAGGCCATAAGGTCAAGTTAAAATAGCTTTTATAGGAATTGCTTGTTATTTCTCTGGTGTCCGNGATGGTTGGATTTATTGACTTACTAGATCTGATGTGCTAATGTTTCATGTTACAGTCACCCTGCCATTTTTTATTTTATATTTTAAGGATTTTATTTGGTTTAGAAGTTGGTGCCAAAATATTCTGAAATATGATGAATTATGGAAGGAGAAACTGTAATTGGACTTCGTTTATGCATTATTTTGCAAAAAATAGTTTTTAGGAATTCTAGGCCATAAGGTCAAGTTAAAATAGCTTTTATAGGAATTGCTTGTTATTTCTCTGGTGTCCGTCAAGAGGTAGAGGCAAGTTGGTGCTCTGGCCTTGTAGACCGGAGTGAGAGGCCTAAACCAACTTATAATTAGTTTCGGGATTCCAATACTGTTAACCCCAGCTGGTGTCTGTGAAATTGAAGACAGAGGGGAACCTAAGAGATATAAAGCATGGATGTTGTAATGAACTTATGATTGCTTGGAGGTTGTTTCTATGGTGAGATTTGATCAATCAAAACGAAAATGGAACTTTGAAAACGAGTACCTTAACTTGTATAAATTTTGAGGGGTTCCAAATGCTTCTTAAATTCCTTGAAAAATCGGTGATGTTCAACTTTGCTTGGATTCTTCTTTTTTGGTTTCCAAGCAAAATTTTCATGATGATTTAAGTGAATAATCATTGCAGTACAGATTGGCGGATAAGATATTTTTTGCAATGGAGAGGCCATTTTGTTTCAAAAGAAAGGACTAATGGATTTTATCGGTTATTATTCAATTGAAAGTATTTATAACTTAATATTAGGGGTATTTCATCGTATTTTTAGTCTCGGTTTGTGATAGCTTCTGGGCCTTATTTTGTATTAAGTTGAGTGTTTTTAGAGTTTAGGAATTTTAGGGTGTAGTTAGGTCCAATTAGTGCAAATACTGCTTTATCAGAAAATTCACAACAGCTTGGATGAAATGAAACTCAGATTAGAGGTTTCCACATTTTCCATGCTTCTATTTTCTTTCAACTTCAGTCTATTAGAGCTTGCACCCGTGGTATAGTAGCTTTGTGGGTTTCAAGCCCTAATATTTGCTTGTTGCTCAAAGTGTAGATATTATTTTGAAATTAGAATTCCTCCAATAAAGTCTTAGTGTTTATCATTTTGGATATAGTTTAAGTTGTACTTATCAGTCTTTCAACCGTAGGATACAACAATCATGTGCTCATTTCTTGTCCCTTTTTGTCCAGGGCCTTGGGCAGATTAGAGATTCTCATGGGTGATATCTTATTATGCAAAATATGTTGGCCTATAAAGTGAATATAGAATGTTTCTTCTTGTACCTTGGTATGCATTTTTTGAATGATGGAAACAATCACAATTTTTGTAAGGGCAGGAGTTAGAGTGGAGGTGGTCATCAGAAAGATTATAATGGTTGATGGCTTTTTAGTATTCTAAGTGGTGTTTGGATGCCACTTCATCATGATTCGTTTAGCTGCCTGTCTCTTTTTTAGTAGCATTATTGATCTGGGAATTGCTCATTTCAAAATCTCTGTTGACATGGTTTGCCTCTGTTCTCAATTTGTTCATATCATTGTGTACCTCAGCACCTTATCATTTTGCAGTATTATGAAAAAACTGATCGGAATTGGTGGATGGTCATCTCTAGTTAACTGGTCAATGCAAAAAAACTGATAGGAACTGGTGGATGGTCATCACTAATTAACTGAGTAAATGGTAGTTGTGATATGTTCTATATAATTATTCATCTTCTATTCCCTTTGTTGTTGTTAGACAATGTGCTTTTGGCATCGGCTAACTTTACCATATTTGACCTTTTCCTTTTGAATTATATGAGCAATGGTTGATTTTGTGGATTGTGTGTATTTAACAGGATGGGGGGATAGGGCATATGATTGCTGGTCTGTGACTTGCTTTGTGCTGCTACATCTCCAGATTTATATAGAATTAATTTAGAACAGGTAAATTTTGTTCTGTAAGAGTATTATTGTTGTTCTTTGTACTTTAGTTTCATAATGATGTTTGATACAATTCGTCTCTGTTTCTAGTTTCCAGATAAAGAAAAAAAAGTTGGGATGTTTAAAGCAATTGCCAACAAATATAGATCTATGGTTTTTTTTTTTTTTTTTTAAAATTATTATTATATTGAGAATTAGAGTGTCTAACTCTGGCTACTTCAGGTTTAAGAATTTTGTTTCAATGTTCCATAATATTTGCCAATTAAGATCATTGTGATTGAATAATTATTTATATGTATTACAGCTGAACTATTCCAATTGCACACTCCAAGATGTGAAATTGTATTGCAGCTGAAATATTTGTATATTTGTTCTAGCTATCCACTAAATTTTCTTATAAAGTTGTTGTCTTTGAAATTTTTTTATCTGTATTACAGCTGAACTCTTCCAATCTCACACTCCAATCTGTAAAGTTGCCTCACAATTCACTTGCAGCGGCTTGTAGAATCACTGTGAATATTACATTTCATTAAATTGTTGAATCATAGATTGATGTTTGTGCAGTTCAGAACTTGTAAATTTATTTGGGTCTTCCCCAAGAATGTCCTTGGTTTTGTGGATTCACTTCACCTTTTGTATACTACATTTTTTTTTTTTTTTTATAGTTCTTATAGGTATTACTTTTTCTTTTTCAGTTTATATCCTGGTATTCTTTATGTTTAGCACTATCGATAATGAAAACTTTGTAATTTACAGGTCGATTTCTCTCATCTCTGAATACACAGGCCCAGCGCTAAATGTAGTTTCTCGAAGGTTGTTGCTGAATCTTGTTACTGTTGTTACTCCCTATGTCCACTACAGTAACATAAATTTATATTTTGATTTCACTATTACCAACCTTTGCTTACTGAGGCTTAGGAGGCTTGTTTGACAATTTCAGCAAACTTCATGGCTGTTGCTTGTGGTGGGGAAGATGGTGCTGTGGAATGTTTTGCTGAGACTGATCTTCAGTTGGTCGAATTAATCTGTGCTCCTGCTGGGATACTTACCAGGTATCAGATTTTTTTCTATAAATAACAATAGGGGTACAGAGGTTTCTCTTATTCACAATGTCCTTGTGAAAGTATTTCTTTAGTTCAAATCCTTTGTCTCCAATATGTTACATGGTTTTGATTTAGGTCCTTGCTCCCAATGTGCATTGTTCAGAGATGTATTTTCCTACTGTATCATTGTTTATCACATATGAAAGTCTTTAGGGGTCAAGTGTGGTCATTATTTCCCCTTACTTTTAAACTGGAAGATGTTCTGACATACATTATAACAAATTCTTTCTTGTTGTCATCTTTGGAGATGGGATGGAAGGAATATATGTACACATATCAAGAATGATATATGTGTATCCTTATTGTTTCACCTGAAGTTGTTTCTCACTATATTTGCTGTTTTTGCAGGAGTTACTGCATTGGAATTTGACACTAATGGGGGTTTCCAATTGGAGTTGGAAGTAGCACGGGGAAGGTACTCATATACATAATACTTTTGATGTTGAGATACTATCTTTTGCTTAAAAATATCTACTTAAATTTTGGTGCTGAGAAAAAGGTCAGTTACTTCATGGACTCTGAAGGGAGTTATCTGTTGTGAAGCTTATTATATTTATAGTGTTCATATAATGCTATCCATATGTTCAAGTTAAGCCACTGCTTGGAGAGGTATAGGGAGGGTTTGAGAGTTAATACTTAAAATATGCCGTGATGAATTAGTGATAGCCTACTCCTCTTTCAAGAGATAGAAAGACTGAAATAATATATAAAAATGAGTTCATAAATAAAGTAGCTGGTCATGAAATGTGGGATAAACCATAAACCTTGGTGGAAACGAGGCAACAAAAAGCGTATGATGTTAATGGTTTCAAGAACTAATAATTGAAGATTGTTTAAAATATTTAGGTTGGGGAGTTACCTTAAAGATTTAGTTAGGATTTCAAAAGAAGTTGTATGATGATGATACGAATGGATAATAATATGAACAGTAAGGGCTTTGGACTGTAAGAAGAAAAATATCAAGAAAAAAAGTAAAATGCAGTAATTAGTAGCCAAGAGCCAAATAACTATCAACTTTAATAATTCTAAAATTATTATAAGATTCTCATTTATCAGTTCTAATAATTTTGTGGCATATAGGTATGTCTTCAGCTTAGGTCTTATTCTGTTATAAGTGGATGAGAAGATTTTTGTGATAAGAAGCAATAGATGTTTATAATTAGAAAGAAACAATTACTAGTGTGGACTAGGAGTCTACCAACAGGGTCAAATGGTCCCTTGTAGGGAGTATCAGAATCTATACAAGAACAATCAAGAATCTATACAAAAACAATCAAGAATCTTCTGCTTTGAACCTTCTAGAAAACGACCTGGGAAAATAACTTTAGGAGGATTGCCAATTCAAGAATTTGATTGCATTAATTTGACTAATTTTGTTGCAGTGTATAATTTCCGTATCTAGATATTAGGTTTGTCCGCATCCTTTTGCTGTAATGATTGTTTTGAGAGTAGGATTTTAATGTTGTCATTGTAATGCAGGTGTTGATTTATGATTTGCGTTCCTCATATCCTATACGAATCAAGGATCACATGTGAGACTTGCTGTTCTTGCATTATCTTTTTATTGCATGCTTGGACTCAGTTAATCTATTACTGAAAATTCTGCCACTTTTATCCAGGTATGGGAGTCCAATATTGGATATTAAGTGGCATCATAGTCTTAACACTGAACGACCACAATTGATTACAACAGACAATCATGTTGTCAGAATATGGGACCCTGAGACGGTAAGATGTTTTTATTTTAATTTTTGGTTCAACTTATTTTGTTTGGCAAAATTTCTTTCCATGGATTGATAAACTTAAGAGAACATCTCTATGTTTCTTATTTTTGTTTTCTGTGGAAGACAATGAAACTTTTTATACTCGTGTTTGATTTGAGTACTAAGTGGTGGAAGAGCAAAGAATTTCAACTTATAAAGTGTATCATCGTAGTTGTTTTTCCGTTTGTATGATTATCGTTAAATCTGCGAAGGATATAATCTCTCTGTTTTTTTTTTTTTTTTTTTTTTTTTTTTTAATTTAAATCGGGTAATCAGTGCAGAGGTTTGGATATATTCATTGAACCATTGATGTAGAAATAGTGATTCTCTTATAATGCAGATTTCACATTACATTCTGTTGTCTTAGTAATATTTAGAGTTGATTTTCAGAAGTTTTAGTGATGCCAATAAAAGAAACCCAAGGCTAATTGTTTATTTTAGGAATTATCTATTTTAAAGATTTAAGAATATTACTTTATTTTTCTCCAGTCTCATCTAATTCTTTTCTCTTCTTACTTCTACTTATTTTTTTCTCTCTCAATTCCACTTTTTATTTTCTCTTCTCATCATGCATCATTTGGTATTTGAGACTTGTCTTGTCCTACATATAGATTGGACGTTCAATGTTCCTTGCTAGAAAAGTGAACATACTTTTCTTGGCCAATACTTTTTAGATTGTCATTGTGATGGGTAGTGACTAGAGTTTAGACAAATGAGAAAATCAGATTGTGCCACCTAACATATTTTACATTGATGAGCTTATGATTAAGTAGGTATGGTTTTTAATCTTGTTATTGGCAGCTTGTTGACCAAGATTATTGACTTGGACAAGATATAAGAATAGAATTCCCAGCATATAGCAAGTTTCTTAACGTTGAACTATAATTATGGTTAAGAGTGATGATTTTTTATTTTTTATTTTTGAAAAGGAAGATACAAGGAATCCTTTTGTGGAAATGTCCAAGCAAGACAAAAAATGCTTAAAAAATCTACCAAAGAAAAAAAAAATCAATTCTATAACTAGTGCTATATCTAGGTGGGTGAAACTGCCCTTGAAGATCTTTTAATTGTAAATTCTCTTTCAAAGAAATAAAGTATTTTTTATGGATTATATTTTGTTATAAAAAAGAAAACGATAGATGACAAGGATATCTAGGAGAAGCGATCTTATAGCTTAATTAAACTAGAATTATCAATGACAGAACAGGGGTATTTTCTGTGCAAATGAAGTGGAGAAAATATTATTCTTACTCAACGTCATAGGTTTTACAGAGCACATATGCATGCAAAATCATATTCATGTGTGCATATTTAATGACTATATCATAGATATGCATGTTCTCTCTCTTATCCTTCCTGGTATTAGTATCCCATTCTTGTATTTTATTTGATTGTTGCATTATTCTCAGGGAGAAGGCAGGACCCCAATTGAACCATCAGGTGGGAAGATAAACGATATATGTGTGTTCAAAGACAGTGGGTTTGTGTTGCTGGCTTTAGATAGCAGCCAGATACCAGCTTACTTCATACCTGACTTAGGGCCTAGTCCCAAATGGTGTGCTCCAATGGAAAACATGACGGTGTGTTATAAATTTTAGTGTATTTGCTTCTTATCTTGCCTTTTGTTAATTTCATTTGGAATCTTGAGTTGGAATGCTGATTTTTCTTTTTTTGAGTTTATTTTGCAGGAAGAACTAGAGGAAGGTGGGCAAACAACCATATATGATAACTACAAATTTTTGACTAGAGAAGATCTTGAAAAGTTGAATTTGACTAGTCTGATTGGCACCAATCTTCTTAGAGCTTACATGCATGGCTTCTTTATTGATTACCGATTATATAAGAAGGTGAGGTTGCTTCAGTGCATATGCACTTTTCAGTTTTCATGGCATATTTAGACCCTGTCCTACAAAATTCATGAATGTTTTTTAAGGTTTATGTTGTTTGCCATCCACTGGGGTTTTTGCAGGGAATGTGTATGTTCTCTTGTAGTAAGGGAAATAAATAATTCAGAAATCAATCAGATTTGTCTGATCTGTTATAGGGAATGAAAAAAAATTGTCATTTAGATGCTTCTATTGCACACTGTGCAACTTTCTTTAACTTGTTTCATTATAAATTTGGAATGTTATACATAATTATGGGAGTTTTTGCTCAATATGTTATTTGGTAGTATTGTATAGCTTATCGGCTTTAATATTATGACTGCCTAAATATGTTTTAATGCATTTTATTTTCAGGCAAAGGCAATAGCAAATCCTTTCGCATATGAGACCTATAAAGAGGAGCAGAAACAAAGGAAACTTCAAGAGCAACGAGCATCTAGAATTACGGTGAATATTTATATTGCTAAGATCAGTGTTTTTCTTCACTGTTCCTTAAACGGTTTGTGTCAAATCATTTTGGAGGCTGAACTTTTAAATTTTTTATGTACTCATTATTTATGTACTTCTTTATTAGTTTTTTGGCATAGTTTTGCCATAAATTTTATAAGTGAATTGATGTACCAGGTAGTATTGAGAAACAGAATGAGAGTTTTTTGTATTTCTGAAATCCTGCTTTCTAGAAATNTTGTAAATTTTAGTGTATTTGCTTCTTATCTTGCCTTTTGTTAATTTCATTTGGAATCTTGAGTTGGAATGCTGATTTTTCTTTTTTTGAGTTTATTTTGCAGGAAGAACTAGAGGAAGGTGGTCAAACAACCATATATGATAACTACAAATTTTTGACTAGAGAAGATCTTGAAAAGTTGAATTTGACTAGTCTGATTGGCACCAATCTTCTTAGAGCTTACATGCATGGCTTCTTTATTGATTACCGATTATATAAGAAGGTGAGGTTGCTTCAGTGCATATGCACTTTTCAGTTTTCATGGCATATTTAGACCCTGTCCTACAAAATTCATGAATGTTTTTTAAGGTTTATGTTGTTTGCCATCCACTGGGGTTTTTGCAGGGAATGTGTATGTTCTCTTGTAGTAAGGGAAATAAATAATTCAGAAATCAATCAGATTTGTCTGATTAGTTATAGGGAATGAAAAAAAATTGTCATTTAGATGCTTCTATTGCACACTGTGCAACTTTCTTTAACTTGTTTCATTATAAAGTTGTAATGTTATACATAATTATGGGAGTTTTTGCTCAATATGTTATTTGGTAGTATTGTATCGCTTATCGGCTTTAATATTATGGTTGCCTAAATATGTTTTAATGCATTTTGTTTTCAGGCAAAGGCAATAGCAAATCCTTTCGCATATGAGACCTATAAAGAGGAGCAGAAACAAAGGAAACTTCAAGAGCAACGAGCATCTAGAATTACGGTGAATATTTATATTGCTAAGATCAGTGTTTTTCTTCACTGTTCCTTAAACGGTTTGTGTCAAATCATTTTGGAGGCTGAACTTTTAAATTTTTTATGTACTCATTATTTATGTACTTCTTTATTAGTTTTTTGGCATAGTTTTGCCATAAATTTTATAAGTGAATTGATGTACCAGGTAGTATTGAGAAACAGAATGAGAGTTTTTTGTATTTCTGAAATCCTGCTTTCTAGAAATAATAAAATGTCTTTGAATTGTAATGTGAGATTAATACTAGTTTTTGGACAATCAGTTTTGTGATGTTCTTCTTTCTGCGTTAAGATTTTTAGAAGAGAAAAGTATCTAAGTTTCTGAATTTGTTAAAGAGACAGTGTGAATAATGAAAAATTGATTTCTTTCTAGATGCTTGATGTAAATCCTAGGGCTTTCTGGATTTCCATCTTTATTACTCTTTATTTTGGTAGAGTTGGATAATCTAATTTGGGCTAATTAAAATACATATTCCTTTCTTCTTGATGCAGCTTAAAAGGAAATTACCCAAGGTTAACCGTGGTCTTGCAGCTCGTATACTTGAAAATGAAGAAGCAGAAAATGAAAGTAAAGATGTTGATGAAAATGAGACTAAGAAGAAATCCAAGAAGAAGAAAGGCCTTGGCAGTGATGTTTTCAAAGATGACCGGTTTGCAGCAATGTTTGAAAATAAGGTATAATAATCTGATTGTCTGATGTTATTATCTGTTCTTTTAAGTTTAATATTATCATATTTTTAATTTTCTTATCTGTTGTAGTGGTTTATTTATGATGACTGCTAACCTCATTGTTACATTTCATTGAGCTTTTATACCTTCTCTTGTGAGATAGCAAATATACTAACTTTTTCTCCATTAGCATGTTGCAAGACTACTTGTTTGTTACTAGACACACAAGAAACTGTCTTGCTTTTGTAACACATTTTGCAAACCATCTTACAAATGCATGCATAAGAGTTATTTTGAATGTGGAAATTCATGTAATCATTTTTTCAAAAGGGGCTGCAATCTGAAATCTATTGGAGTGATGATACATTGTTTCTTATTTTTATTAATTTCATTTTCTATGCAAATTATGTAAATATAGCTGTATTCCTACCTTTCATATTTTTTTTTTTGGTTGCCTTTGAATAAATTCCTTTTGATTTTTGGGTCCAGGACTATGAAATTGATGAGTTCTCGCCAGAATATCTTGCTCTACATCCTCTGGCTTCTCAGAAGCAACCATCTCTGGTGGAGGAACATTTTGAACCTGTAATGGAGGATGAAGATCAGAGTGCGAGTGATAATGATGTCTCAGCAGTGTCTCAGTCATCAGATGATGAGCTTGGCAAGGATAAGATGAATAAGAAATCACGAGCTCCTAGGTAAGTTGTTCATACTTGTTGTATACAGAGTTATGGCTCTTATATGGATAGATTAATGTTGCTCAATTTATCTTTCGTTCAGTAATAGCTATGTGAGTGGATGGTGGATACGATGTGGGGAGAGAGGAGAGGAGGCTTTTGTTTCAGTTACCTTACTAATAATCTTTCTTATGTTAAAATCTGTAGATTGTATGAAGTTAAGGATGAACGGCATGCAGAAGCATTTTGGAACCGTGTATCACTTGCAAAAGAGGATGCTCTTCCTATGGGAGAGAGATTGAAAGCTCTCCATAATGATCGGCAAGCTTCTGGTCTCCCAAGTGATGTGAAGATGGGACCAGGAGGCTCGCGAGAGATTTCGTTCACTACTAGAAACTCAGCCAAGTACAAGGAAGATGAGGAGGACAAAGAGGCACATCATGTAAAAAGGAGAGGAATCCAATCATTAAGGCTGAAACCAGATAGATCGGGATCACGAGGCCGAGGCCGAGGCAGAGGCAGAGGCAGAGGTAGAGGTCGAGGAGGTAGAGGAGGCAATCGTGGGAATAGTAGGGGAGGAAGATGATTATCATAAATTCAATGTGAAAGAATATTCAATTATCTTCCGTCAGTAATTACTGTAGTTTCCCCATGGGTGATTGAGGAAGCAGCACAGATTCATGAAGCAGGCTGGTTGAATCAAGAGGCAGTTATGGAGGAAGTGTATTCCTGCTTATAGATTCTGGTATTGTCTGTTGGCTTCTTCCCATTTTTATTTATTTGGGGGTTTAACAGGGAAGGTTTTTGGTCCTCGTTTTTTCTTTAAGAACATTATTTGTTGTAACATATCGGGTTTTGTGGTAAACAAGTGCAATATTACAACAATATTGTCTCATTTCTGGGTCTAGTCATATGGATGAGATCTCATACATACTCTTATTGTTAAAGTATTCTCTTCAAGTGAACAGAGTTGTATTTGATAGCAGTTTTGTGCTTGGCCCATATAGAATATGTTGAACAAATTTTAAAAGATTCTTTAGTGGTATTTCAAAAAATTGAATGATGCACAAATTCCTTGATACAAATTTAGGATTCAATTAAGCTTATGCACTTTTTTATTTGACTTTAAGTGTTTAATTATGTTTATGCCCTTCTTTGGTTTGACTTTGGTTGACTTAAGTTAAGTGAACGACGTTTTAACAATAGAGGTTTTTTGTCATAGTTTTCAATAATCATCGTGCTGCTTTATACTTTGATATCTCTCGGAGAGATTAAATCAACCCGTTTTATTAAGTAAAAAAATGACGGGAAAAAAGATACCTTTATTCTTATGAACACAACCCAGATTCCACTGGAAAAACCACCCATGCCCTTACAACACACCAAAACACCATCAAGATCCACCATCGAGCTTTCAAACAATCTCTCTTTCTAAAATTAACACAATTAACCATGGCAAGGTAAAAAAATGAAAAACCATAATCACAATACCAAAAACCCCCTTCTCAAACCCTGAACCCGTCGCCATGATTATTTTTAATGCATGTAATTGCATGATTTACTTGGTTTTGCAAATTTCTAACGAGATGTAGAAATGATTTGAATGCATCACTTTTATGTGCAAGAAATATCACCTATGTAAACCTAGAGTAATCATCAACAATGACAAAGCAATAGTGTTTTCCTCCTAAACTTGTTGTCCATACAAGCATTGTTTGAAAACCCGGATCAGACCGGTCAGTCCGACTGATTCGATTGGGACCCATGCTCAACTCCGGTCCAGGTTATTATTAAACCCGCTAATAACAAAAGAGCCGCTTTAGACCAGTAACGGACTAGTGCTACAGTGCAAACCAGTCGGTTCAACCAACCTAAAGCTTAATCCGGTCCGCTAATTGAGCCCTGTTGAATATTGGAAATGTAGATTTATTTAGTGATTTGGGCGTGAAATTGTAAGGAATTTAAGGTTTAATGCATAATTTATGATGTAATTTCTTGCATGTTTCATTATCTTCCAGAATCACAGGTGTTGTGTGTGTTTTCAGGTGCAAAAGAATGGATTACTCATGCTTGTGCTGGTGTTCGGACATCCTAAACTCATTCGAGTGCGGATAAATCAAGGCGAGAAGTAAAAGTATAAAATTCCGACTTTGTATCGCATCACACTTTTTGAGCCGTGGTGTGGTACAGTTTTTTTCAAAGAAGAAATCACCTGGAAACGCACTGGGACACAATTCAATTGCGTTGGGGTGCAATTAAACTGAGCTGGGGCACAAATCGCATAGAATGTAAAAATGTTGCATTTCCAACCCTAATTTTGGCGACCAATATTTACAAGTTTGTCATTTTGTCTAAAAACTATATAAAGGCAGCTTTAGTCCCTTTTAGGGAGTTTTTAGGTTTGATACACACATTTTGGAGAGAATACATTTAAGGCTTCTTGGAAAGTGAAGCTTGGAGAGGAGAGGAGGTTCTCTTCCTCTCCTCCTCCTTTGTTCTTCACGATTATGGTTCCAAGTGTAATCGTTTCTTTTCCTTTATGTTGTAGTTTGTTTTCTAGGGATTCGATGTAATCTACTTGAAGGCTTGTGTTCTATTGTTATTCTATTTGTTTGATCCATTCTATTATGTTCTAGATTCATTCATTATATTTAATTCAATCTTTAGTTGATATTAGGGCCTGATCAACCTTGATGTTAGTTAATTGATTGTATGAGACAAGATTCTGTGTGGAATGATTGATTTGTAGCCCTGCCCGAATATGGATTGGTTGTTGTCTTTAAGATCGTCTTGTGCTTAATGGGTTTTTGTTACTAGACTAGGCTAGACGCCACTAGCTAGTATAGTAGATGGAAACACTAGGTTATTTTGAATAGCTGCGATAATACCTTAGAAACAAGAGATGTCATGCCTATCTTGATTAGCTTTGTGAATGAATGATTTGTGTCTATGCAAATTGGTTCCTTCGTTATTTAGGCTAGGCCATACGCGACTAGCTAGTTTAGATGATGAAAGTACTAGGTTGAACCTGATGATGTACGAACCTTAGAATGGAGTGGAGACAACAATAGTTTGATGATGAACACGTAGCTTGATAATTATGATGGAGTCAGAGCCCTAGGATTCTTTGTAGATAGTTAGATTTAGATTTACTTTGATGTCATTTATATGTTTTTTTTTTATTTTAATTCTTATTTTCACAAGGCATAGTTTCTAGGATCACAAGAGCACTTCTAGTCTCTGTGGGATTGACCATTACTCGTGCACTATGCTGCGATTGCGACTCGTCCACTTGCGAAGGATTAAACTTTGTATCTGTCAAGCCCCATCCCCCACAAAAAAGGAAAAAAAAAAAAAAAAAAAAACTAATCCTAATTCCCTTGCAACAGTTTCATTCGCTATACGCCATTTCGATTTCGTTTCTAAGTTTCATAGCAGCAAGTAATAAGTTTCATAAATTTAGTGTTTTTAGGTTTGTTTTTATAGCCTTCTAGTTAATTTCTCATTTGTTTTCTGTGTTTTGATGTTAGTTTTTGTTAAGTTTGAAATATGAATAGTCAGCTATTGATTTGGAGAAATTTTGTAATTTTCAGGCGTTAATTGAGTAGATTGGAGCATTGGAATGAAATTGGGATTCAAAGCTTGAAGAAATTGAGATTAGTTGACAAGTTTGAAGGCCATGGCCTTGCCTTGGTGGTTCAACACGGCCATGGTGTTGGAATGAAGATAAAATATCGAGGACAGGAAGCACCATGGCCTAGGCTGTGATGACGTACATTTGGACACGGCCAGGGCCGTGTCGGACACTTTTAGGGTTTTTTTAGTTTTTCTTTCCTTTTTCACTTAGGACTCTTTTGAGTATTTAAGGGTGATTAAGATTACTCCTTAGGGAGGCCGAATTTTACCTATTCTTGGAGAGAGATTGTTGTGTAACAAAAGAGAAAGGAGAATCAAGAACAAAATTCATCACAGAGTTTGTTTTTACTTTTTCAATATGATTTATTTCTTAGATTCTACTCTTGTTTCTTTTATTATGAACAAATTTTCTCAGGCTAAGACTAGGGTTAGTCTATTTATGGATCTGTGATCAATCTTTTACTCTTTGGTCAGTGAATTATTTTTCTAATGATGAGTTTATATTATGTGCTTAATACTATTAGGAACCTCATCAATTTCTGATATAATTGTTTTGTGTGATTGAGACCGAGAGGAGATATCACATGAGTGCTCTAGTAATATAGGCCATGGATTAATTGGATATAGAGATATATGAATTGATATATGCAATAGTCATAGGCATGTTTAACTTGTGCTGAAAGCTAGAGGATTTCATAAAGCTTAATGCTCGTCTATTTCATTAAATCTATATATAAATATCTAGATTTGGAGATAGAAGTAGAATTAATATTGCTTGAGAAAGAATATCGATTAACCTAGGAAATCCCGTTGTCACATTAATTAAATAAATTCATTGACCATAGTAAATTGAGGGATGTAGAGAAGTTATAGATGAGCCTGAAGTCTTAGCCGTTTTCTCTCATTGAATTCTTAATTTTAGTTTTACTGCAATTCGTTTCTAATAGTTCAGATTTTAATATTTTCAGTTTTTAGATCACCATTCTAATTTTTGATTATCTAGATAAAGTTAAGACTAATTAATATTTCAGTACTTGTTTACCCAATCCCTTGGGTACGATAACCTGTATTTTGTTATACTATATTACTTGAGATTAGTGCACTTGCTAGTAGTTGTTGCAAACGACACAACAAGTTTTTGCATCGTCCATTTTCTAAGTTCCATAGCAGCAATCATCTCCAATATCAATTGACCAGTAGCAAGCATCCTTCCATTATTGAAATCGAATCTTCTTCATCTTCTTTAACTTCAACTTCAACAACGTATTCATCATAGACCGGGGGCTTTATTGTCACAAAGTGATGCCTTTCGGCCTAAAGAACGCGAAGGCAACTTACCAATAGATAGTAAATAAGATATTCGCCGCCGATCTCATCGGGAAAATGATAGAGGTATATATCTACAACATGCTAGTAAAATCACAGAAGGTGGAAGACCATATGGGGCACCTCAGAGAGATGTTCCATATCCTGAGGATGTTAGAGTAGGTGCACAAGAGCCAATCACATTTTGTATATTGACTCTGTGGATCATATTATTTCATTAATTAAATGCATTATTATATTATGTAAATCGTGTCTTATGTATGTTATAATATATGTCCTTAGAATGGTAGAATCGTAGCGAGAGAATCAAGCGGTTTTAGGTTTTGATTGTGAGATCCCTATGAGCATGTTCGGTTAAAAACAACTTTAATTCCTCTGCAAGTGAACGGGTCTCTATTGCAGTACAGTTGATGAGAATGCAAAATGTCATATTTACCCCCCTTAATGTCTAGTCTTTTATACTTATTTGTTGCCTAAATGTACTCATTATTATTCTATTTTGATTTAGGATGCAAATGGAGGCGTTAAATGCAAAACAAAACTAATTAGGTGAATTCAGACAGTTTCGACATTGCTTCATAATCTGGGTATAACTCTCTCATTCGAGCTCCAATTGAGATGATTCAAAATGTTGTGAA